TCAGGGCGGGGGGACCAAGCCCCAGGTGGGTCAGGGGCAGAACCGACCCCCCAACTAGGGCTGAAGGGGAGGGCTGGCCCCGTAGGGCACAAGGTGTGCGGTCACAGTGGGGGGGCGGCATGTCACTGGGGCAGTGCCACTGTCACCTTGCTGGGGTATCCCGTATCGCCCACCACCTGGGGTGGGCCGTAAGTCTGGAGCACTCGGTGCTGCACATGGCCATCACTATCTGGGTAGGCACTGGGGCCGCATCAGCAGTCACGGGGGCTGAAGACTGGAGACAGGAGTTGTCTTCCCTAGACAGATCCCTCTAAGGATGTGCCAGGACCATGTGGCTGTGGAGGGGATTTGGGGGGAGGACCCTGACAGAGCTTGCTCTGTGCCAGGGACTCACGGTGACCCTGGGTGCTGCAGGGCTGGACCATGAGCTGGCTTTCTCCAAGATCATCGTGGAGCTACGGAAGAAGCACCCAGGCCACATCCTGCCAGATGAGGACCTGCAGTGGGTGTTCGTGAATGCAGGCGGGTGGATGGGCTCTATGTGCCTCCTGCACGCCTCACTCACCGAGTATGTGCTGCTCTTCGGGACAGCTGTTGACACTGGGGGCCACTCAGGTAAGCAGGGTGACAGGGCTGACGGGCAGCAGGTTTCTCTGAGCTCTTTCCGCTCATTTGGGTCTGGCTGCCCCAGCCATGGTGTGCCTGGGACAGGAGCCAGCTGTTCTGCTTCTTTTACGGGCTTCACAATGCTGGAAAACACACTCCACATGGGGATCAAACACCACGGTGTCCTGCAGCGCCTGCAGGTCCCTGTGCATGCCATGTTGTGCAGCCAGGACTCTCCGCATCCAGCTGGCAGGCAGTGGCAGGCATCACATCTCCCAGCACTTCAACAGGGAGCGAATGCCAAATACCCTGGAAATGATGGAGCTTAAGGACACTGAGTAGCCCCGGCTGGTGGGATGTGGTCAGTCACACAGGCAGCCTGGGTACCAGAGGCGGCTGCGCTCCTAAGTGTGTTGTGGCCCTGGGGCTGGCATCCTTCTGCTAGAGGGCTGCTCCGTGGCTCAGACCTGGGCTCCCAAGCCATCCCCAGTCAGGATGCACTGAACCACTGCTGTCTGTCCTCCCGCAGGTCGGTACTGGGCAGATATCTCCGACACCGTCATCTCGGGGACCTTCCGGCAGTGGAAGGAGGGGACCACCAGAAGTGAGATCTACTATCCAGGTAAGTACAGCAGCTACGGTGCCCTGCAGACTCCATCCACGTCCTGGGGCACAGCCACTCTGTGAGCAGGTCCCCCACTGTCACAGAGCCTCTTCTTTCCTGCTGGCAGAAGCCAGGAGCTCAGGATGGGGCAGTTTGTGTCCCCAGGGGCACATCCCAGCATCTCAGTGGGTGCCTGTAAGAGAAAAGTGAGCAAGACTGGGAAGGGGTTGGGTTGCTCAAGCCTGCAGGTCCCCATCCCACGTCTCCTCTTTGGGCATGACATGGGGCAGCCACTGGGAGCGGTGCTGGTTGTGTGTGTTGGCAGGGGACACCATCGTGCACCAGGCAGGAGAAGCCACATCGGTACAGTGGAGCGCGGGCACCTGGATGGTGGAGTACGGCCGGGGCTTCATCCCCTCCACACTCGCCTTCGCCCTGGCTGACACCCTCTTCAGCACTCAGGACTTCGTCACCCTCTTCTACACCCTGCGCATCTATGCCAAGGGCCTGCTCCTGGAAGCCAATGCCTTCTTCAGCACCATGGGCTGCTGAGCCCAGCTCGCTGGGGTATCCTGCCGAGCACAGCTGGCTCCTCTCCTCCCAACCTTCCTCCCCTCTCCTCCTCCTACTCCCCTAGCCCAGACTCTAGCAGAGGCAGCGGGAGACCCCCTGTGCCTCCCCCAAATTGCTCTGTCCTTCCCTGTGGGCCCGCTGCGTGCCAAGACAGAGGGACCATGGTGGTCACAGCAATACAGACTACAAGTTCTCTTTACTACCTGCCTCTCCCCCATTTTGATTGGAGCCATGTCCTGCTTTTTCCATCCCTTGGGGCTGGAGTGGCCTTGCGGGGTATCAACAGCCTTGTATGCCCTTGACATGCAGCAGGAGAGGGGCTGGAGCTGGCTGTCCCCAAGCTCCACAAAATTCCTGCAGCTCCTGAGGCATCAAAAGGAGGATGCCATCCTTGGGGCAGGATGCACGGGGTGAGCTGGGCCAGAGCACCCGTTGTAAAGGTCAGCCGAGAAGTTCACCATCTCCCTGGCAGACTGCCGGGACTGCGGGCAGCGCAGGGTGCTGTGTCCAGCTGGCAGCATCTCCCGTGGCTCTATCCCCGCTGACGTGGGTTGGCAGCACACAGTGTCACCCTGGCAGGGGGCAGGATCCACACTGGCACCCCCCTGACAGTGGAGGGATGCCCAGCCTCTGTGCTGGAGGTCCCTCTTTGTCCCCTGTGTGTCATCTGCCCCAGGGGATGGTGGGGGCTTGAAGAGGGTCCCTTACCCACATTCACCTCCCTTCATTACCCCCCAAGGGGGAGAGCCACCGTCTGTCGCCTTAATGGAGAGCCCATTCTGTGTGGCCTCTGGGCTATGCACATACCTAGCGTCTACAAGTGCCCAAACCTCTGTACTAGTTCAGGATGGGATCTTCCCCCTTGAAATGCTTCCCCTGTCACCCTGGGGATAGCCACCCCGCTTGGCTCCCAGCAAAGGGTCCCAGCCGCTGAGGGAGCGCTGTGGTCCCCCGACAGACCCCGGCTGCGGACCCTGCTTGCAGCCCCGCGGCCAGACCCATGTGGGCTTGCTGCTTGGTGGAGGGCTTTCAACTCCGCACTGCTGCCAAACACACGAGTGTGTCCCTGGCCACCAGGCGTGTAGCATGTCGTTCCTCCTGCTCCCTGGACTGTCCCCATCCTGCTGACTGGTAGCCCCACACATGGGCTACTTAATTTGCCACCTGGAAAGAGATAACGGTAATAAAATTGTTCATCCCACCCACTTAGGTCCCCAGGAGAGTTTCTGGAGCATGCTGAACCCCTGCCATGGAAATGGTGCTGGATGCAGCCGGCTCCAGGCTCAGCAGGGATCCTGCTGGCAGCTGGGTGTCCCTGGGGAAGGAGGCATCATCCTGCCCAGGGTCCTGGGAGCTGCGGGGTGCGGTGTTGTGCAGGATCAGCCCTGCCTCAGCTCCCAGGTACTGGCGGGAGATGGTGCTGTTACTCCTCACTCCGCTGCAGTTGCTGGGGACCAAAAGCCTGGGCTGGTGCCAGGGCACTGCTTCCCTGGGGGACCCAAGAGTCGGGGGGGGGGCTTCAGCCTTTTGGGGGACAGTGCCAATGCTGGGCGTGTGGCCCTGGGGTGGATGGACCCAGACATAGCAGTTTAGTGGTTCTGAGGGGTTTACACAGACCCACACAGGTGCACCCGCCCATGTGTGAAGGGCACGGGAGGGAAACACAGGGTATGTAGGCTGTGAGTGTGCATGTGTGTGTGTGCATGTGCTGGCAGACAGGTCACATGTATGTGTATAGGTGCAATGCTGGGCGTGTGGCCCTGGGGTGGATGGACCCAGACATAGCAGTTTAGTGGTTCTGAGGGGTTTACACAGACCCACACAGGTGCACCCGCCCATGTGTGAAGGGCACGGGAGGGAAACACAGGGTATGTAGGCTGTGAGTGTGCATGTGTGTGTGTGCATGTGCTGGCAGACAGGTCACATGTATGTGTATAGGTGCAAGCAGGATGGTTTTGTGTGTGTGAGTGTGTCTTGGCCTGGCAGCTGGGCATGCATAGGTGTGTGCATGCATAGAACAGTTTGCAAGTGGATGTAGGTAGAACAGTTGGTCGTTGCACACGTGTGCACACGTGTATATAGGTAGAACAATTTGGCATCTGTCCATATGGTGAGAGCAATTGCAGGCATGTGAGTGCTTGGGCAAGTATGGGTAGGACGTTTGTGTGTGCACATGTGTGAACACAGAGGAGTCGTGTGGATGTGTCTGTGCCTGTGCAGATGAGACAAGTGTGTGCACGCATGTGTGTGTGCAAAGTCCACAGTGTACAGACCATCAGGACAAGCAGATATACACGTGTGCACACCTGTGTGCCCATGGGCAGGCCATGTGTGTGCACACATGCATGTGGGCAGGCTGTGTGTGTGTGTGCATGGGTGTTCCCATGGGCTGCGAGGCTGCCCTGTCCCCACGCCACGTCTGATCCCTGAGGCTGAGCAGGGCCCTGTCGAGGAGCAGGAGCAATCCCATTCTGGCCCGCACGGGAAGGCGCTAACTCAGCAGCTCGTATCAATACCGCTCCACTTACAGCGAAGGCCACGTAATGAAAATCCGATGGGCACGCTAGTGGGAGTAAATAAGTATGCCATTAAAATGAGAAAATCAAAGCTCTGGACAGGTCTTTTCTCTTGCCCATTGATTTCTTTTATTACGGAAATATTGCTGCTAAATAACATTAGTGTGAACAATCTCAGCAGTGTTTTCCGTAGCGCCCATGTCAATAACTCCATTATGGGCGGGGGATCCCCCCCAGGCTGGCTGCGGGGCTGGCAGCCCTGTCCGGGCAAAGGGCTACTCCGGGTGGACTTTCTTCACAGTCCTCAGCTAAGCTGGGAGGTGCCCAGCAGGGAATCCAGGCAGCACGGGGTGGCTTGGGCAAGTGCCACCGAGATGGAGCTGGGCTGGGACCCTGAAGCCCTGGCTGCTTTGCTGCAGCCACAGGGGTTGTCCCCATCCCAGCACTGAGCAGGGGCAGTGCCAGGCATTCAAGGGTCCCAAAAAGCAGCCCTTCCCTTTGGGGTGAGTGTTTGCAGCCTGTTAAGTAGCAGGTATGTGTCCCCAGTGACCAGGAGATGAGAGATGGGGCCTGGACACAGCGTGTCCTGCAGGCTCTTGCTGCCTCTGCCCCTTCCTCCCCACTCCTTCGTATCCGTGCCTGAGTCCATGTTGGACTGACCCAGCTCCCTGCAGCTTGCCATCATTTGATTCACATGGGGAAACTGAGGCACAGGATGGGAACTCATCCACAGTCACCCAGCTCCAGCACAGCCCCTGTGCCAGGGCCAAGGCTTGCACCCAAGCTGACCCTCTCCCCCTTGGCTGCCCACATGCAGGCACCCTGCATCCCCTGAGATGCCCACAGGTGGCAGAGACATCCCTACAGGGCCGTAAGATGTGGCCAGGACACGTGGGAGTTATGCACCCGTTGGTACCCAAAGTCCAGGTGAGATCCCAGGGCACCTCAAAGGACACCAAACCCCTGTGGGGTGGCTGGAGACAGGCAAGGAGACAGCAACAGGCACCTGCACCGTGGGTCCAGCTCTGTCCCAGCCCCAGCTGAAGCAACCGCAAGTGGCATCTCGCTGGAGCCGTCGCCAGGACAAATGCACTTCGCTGCCCACCAAACACCTTCCCCCTGCAGCTCGCTCTGTCTTGCTGTCCCTCCACATGCAGTGGGTATTGATCAGGCCGCAGGATCTATCTCCCGATTCCTCCTGCAGTATCTCTCTGCTCCAAGTATCTCTCACTCTGCTCCGCTGTCTGCCATGCCCGTCTATACCTCCAGTATCTATCCGTGCCGCCTTCACAGCAGCCATCGATAGCCATTTGTCTGGGGGGATTTGTCTTTCTCTCCGGCTAGGAGCATCACCAGACCCCGGTGGTGCAAAGATGCCGAGCAGGAGGGTGGAGGGGACACGGTTCTGCTTGCTGCCCTGGGGACAGCCTGAGCACAGACACACTTTGTGACACATGTGCAGAGCCCCAGAGCCACCGTTGTCACTGTGGAGGCTCTAGGGAAGATTTGAATCATACTGCTCCAGGTGGGCTGAGTCCCTTGGTGGCCATGCCCAGCGTGATGGGACACATTGTACCCCATGCAGACCTCAGTGCTCCCACCAGCCAGCCTGACCACTTTGCCACCCATGGGTGCTACTTTGACCCAAGCACATCAACCCCTCTGCCTCGGAGGAGGAGAACTTCCCCAAATATCTAGGTTAGTCCCATCACCATCACCACATCTGACTCATCCCACCCAGCCCAGCCTTCAGCCCCAGCTCTCTCCTTGCCCCAGTGTGCAGGGGACAGGGCACAGCCCAGCGCAGAGGGTGCCATCACCCTGGGGTGCAATGTAGCAGCACCAGGAGGGGAGGCTACAGCCATGTGCGATGGGGTCCTGTGGAACAAGCCCTGTAGGGCAGCTGGCCCTGTGGGTCCCTCTGAAATGGGGACAGGTCATACCTTCCCAGGGGCTATTCAATAGGAACGTGAGCCAGCCACCGATGCTCAGAGGGGCTGGCAAGTGCTGGAAGGTCCCTAACCCTGCCGCAGCAGGATGGGATGGGCCAGTGCAAGCTACAGCTGTCCCGTCCCGAAATGGGATGGTCGACAGCTAATTTATCTCCTGTGTAAAGATAAACAGCACCTGGGGGCCCTGCGGGCCCTACAGGGTCGGGAGCTGCCCTGTTTTCTTGAGGAAGGGGCTCATTTTTTCAGGAGAGCCTCTCCTCGCTCTCACCTCTCCCGGGTGCTGTGCTGTACCGGGTCCTGCTGGGCTGCCAGGAGCTCGAGGAGCCCCAGATGTCACCAGCACCACAGCAGGATGAGGGGCAGTTTCTCAAGATGCTCGTGGGGAAGCTGGAGAGCCCAGAAGTGGCAGCTTTTCCCTGCAAAGGGACACGGTGAAGGTGGCAGAGGCTCAGCTTGGACTGTGGAGCCCAAGAGCGAAGCTAACTCCTGGTGCAGCCGTGGCCAGCGGCCGTTTCCACAA